AGCTTTCACTTGTACTGTAACTTGTGAGTTGAAAGTTTCTAATCCATCAAAGAATATACCCGCTCCATCACGTTGAACTGGAATAGTGCATAAGAATGAAGTTTGGTCTTTCCATGTTCTAGCTAATGGCGTGCCATTATCATCATTTAGTGGTCTAGTTAATGAGTCCTCGTATTCTTCTGTGCATTCATTCACTCCATCTAAATCGGAAGCTTGAAGCATACGTGTAAAGAATATGTCACCCACTGTGGTCATCGCTTGATCGGGGAAGTTTCTGGAATCTATAGTGACCTGGAAGACCTCGAAGCAATTGGATTTTCTAAACCGTTCTTTGCATTGCATTCTTCGGAAATGTTAACACAACATCTGTAACATTATGAAGAGCGTATGAGAAATCAGAACTGATACCTTCAGGAGTGATGCAACCTCCATTTAGTGAACGAACGTCAATATGTTGAGCTGGAATCATGAATGGATCTTCCTTACTGAATAAACGTGGTATTGCTTTAACTGATTCTTCAATTAAACCGTATCCTGGTGTAATGCATTTATCCTCTAAAACTTCCATCTTTGTGCATGAAATAATAACGTCTTCAACTGTTGCGTCAGCAGATGTAGCGGCTAAGCCTGTAATTAATTTGGCAGGAAGTCCGATTTGTTGGAATTTGCGATCGTATTTATAAACATGATTCATAATCTTTTCATAATTTTCATCAGTTATCTTTTCATAAACATAATTTTGTAAATCAGCAACTCTTAACGGGTCAACCTGACAAAATACTAAAGTATCCCTGAAAACATAATATTTAAGAATGATCACCAAATGATTTAGGATAATCATCGAACGCCTGAAATGCTAACAAATCATTTACCGGAATAATCATATCAAAAGTGACATCAACTTCTTCATTTGCTCTCTTGAAAACTTCTGAAGGGTCAATATATTTACCACATACTGAGTTATCATATTTTTGAACATTATTATATAATGAATGAACAAACTTTTTAACTTTCCTTTCTGATTTTGGTTTATATGTTGCAAATGCGAAAGATTCACGGGCGCAATCCATTTGAAGATAACCGGCATCACCTCTTTCGGTTTCTACTTCTAATTGCTTAAAGTTTTGATTTGATGATTTATAACCAACGAATAAACGCATGCATTTAAAAGCGGCATCACATGTGAAAGCTTTATTTGAAACTAGAGTTGCTTTAACTTTGCGTTTAATATATGTGTCACCTAATTGGTTCACATCATGAGCCGGATTTGTAATTCTTAAATGAGTTTGTTTATCATCAAAATATGGAGTATCAGAGTCATAGCATGAACTTTCAAGTTCTCTATAATATCTTCTACCGTCATTCTTTGCGAATATTTCATTTATCTTTTCGAATGAATGAAATACATTTCCATTAATCGGTTTAGTGTTTGGCACCAAATAGTTAGTCGTCATTTATGATGAAATAAAAAAATCAAAATTAAAAGATGAAAATGAATTTTTAATTTTAATGAAATAATCAACTATGGCTGCAGGTATATTTAAGAAACTATGGGATAAAGTAAAAAGAGGAGCGCATAAAGTTTGGGAAACAATGAAGAAGGGAGCAAATTGGATATTTAAGAATAAAGAAGCAATTAGTGACGTTGCAGAACAAATAGCACCTAATGTTCCGGTAAGGGAAGTATTAAATAAAGGAGATAAAGTTTATCGTCGACTACAACCGATATTGAGATAAAAATAATATTTATTTTTCCACTACTTTCCTCCTATTTTATTAAGTATTCCTTCAGCAATTCCACCAACTGCGTTACCTGCTTGTGCTCCCATCGCTGGATTACCTGCTTTAGCACCTAATACTCCACCAATTATAGTTCCTGCCGTTTTCGCTACTGGTGCCAAAAAGTTTGCAATGGGTTTTATTATTTTCTGATGAACCCAACTTGCAGCTTTCTTAATTCCTTCCCATAACTTTTTAAAGAATCCTGCAGCCATTTCTGATTTAATATTAATTAAAAAATATATTTCATCACTTATATTCTAATTTTTATTTAATGATAAATGAAACCGATTTTAAAAATAAATGAAACAGAGGAGGAAGAAATAAATGAAAGTGAAGATGTTCAAAATAAAATAAACATTGTTAAACCCATTACTGAAACAAAAATTTTTTCATCTGTTGAAGAATTTAATGACTATTACGCAAAGAATAAAAAATTATTTGAAGAATTGACAACATGTAAATTGAATAAAATGTTTAAAGTTGATGGATTCAAAATTTCAAAAATAAAAGGTGTTGTTAGTTTAAAATCTATTCCTCAATCAAGAATCACCTCATTAATGAAAATTGATGATTTAACAAAAAGAATAGAAATTATTGAAGAAAGAATGAATCAAATAATTGATTTCATAAATCATGACTCGTTGAGCCCGGGTCCTTAAAGTCCAAGGCACAAAGTGCCCAGTCCTTAAAGTCCATCACTGAGTTCAAGGTTATATTCATCAAATATTTCATTATTAAATGCAACTTCTGCTAGTTTATTTATTTTTTCAATACGATCATTTGAAAGTCTATCGTTTAATTTTTTCTGAAGTTTTTCGTTACCAAGTTCTAAAATTTTACATGGATGATATGTAAATTCATAAAATTCTTTTTCCTCAGTTTTGATCATTAATTTACAAAGAACTTTTGTGGTTGGAATTCGTTTGAACCATTTATCCTTAATATTTGTTATAAATTCAATATCTGGAATTAATTCCCAAATTTTTGCATTTTCAATTAATTTATTATCAAATGCAAAAGCAATGGGTTTAATATTATGTTTACCTTTATAATATAAACTTTCTACATAATCATCGAAATAAACATCTACTTGTTTAACATTTTCAAGAATTGGTGAAAGAGCATCCATTAATTGATTGACGGTTACGAATCTTGATCCACTCATTTTCTTACGAATTAAAAAAATAAATTATTCATAAATGTCAGAAGAAAATATTTAAATAAATTATTTAAATTTTTTACTCTATTCAAGAATTTTATTTTTGATATAACTCATTGAATTCAAAATTTTTTAAAAAATTGACACCATATTTGGAATCTATGCAAAAATATATTCTTTTTATTAATGGTAATATAGGAATTGTAGGAATAAAAATTTTTTATAAATTATTCATAAATTTTTAAAATCTGCTATTCGGAAGTATGTTCAAAAATCATTCAATTATGTGAGAATTCTTACGATTACAAAAAAAGTCACACAACCCGCATCATATACTACTAAGCAGTCCAGCATTTCGAAGTGATTTATGAAATTAATTCATATATTTTGAACATGATATCTCATAGGATAAAGAATAAAATTAACTGCTTAGAATTGAATCTTGAACATGATTTATTATTGAAATTATTTGAACATTGAATTTTCGTCGATTTAAATGGATCAATCCACAGTACAATATAACTAAAATTGATATATGATATTAGATTAAAAACGATTAAAAATTGCAACCGAAAATGGTCAAAAATAAGTCACGAAAATATGAAATTTAGATAGCTAATTTGATTTAATTAAAGACGGCGAAAAAAAGTGCAGCAAGTTTGTATTATATATAGCGCGTTCTATCGGCGCGCAGCTTCGCTGCGCGCCGATATAAGCTGACAAGGCTGTCATGCACCAGTGTGTTATAACAGATCGATTTTATTTGAAATTTCATAAATTAATAATTATAATAAATTTGATATTCAGAGACGGCGCTACGCGCCTTTTAGCATTCTGGGCACGTAAGTGCCCAGAATGCAAGATTGAGAAATTTGAAACTTCGTTTCAAATTTCTGCCATGCTGTTATGCAAAAAGAAAGTCAGTACAAAAAAATTTTTGAAATTGAGAATAAAAATAATATTGTGAGTTTTTGTGATATATGGATTTTTTAGAAGATTTTAGAGATTGAAGTCTCAATTTATAAAAATTTTTTAAATTGAGAGGAATTTTAATAATATTATTTTATTTGATATTTGGATTTTTTAGAAGATTTTAGAGATGTCAGTCTCAATTTTAAAAAATTTACAAAAAATGATCGTAAAATAATCGTTTTTGTTCAAATCCTTTTCATTTCGGGAAATTGAAGTTAAATATCAAAGTGATGGTCTATGCATATGTTAAATCAAATCATTAAAAAGTGTTTTGATGACTTTTTCTAACCGCAAATTGTCACTTTTTGATGTTTTAAAATTATTATATATCCTATATGCATATAAGATACAAATTAATATTAAAACACCAAAATCGATTTTTGAGAGAATCAAATTTATCACATCTCATCGTTGTTCCGAATTAATATTTTATTTGTAATGTACATATTATCACAATTACATTCATCATATTAAAATTCAAAAATAATTTTTGAGTTTCAGATCTCCCTAATTTCCCATATAAATATATGTTTATTTTATTAAAAATAGAATGTCCAATTATTGATAAAAATCGATCCGCTTTTCTATCGGTCAAGCTGTATATATATAGAACCCATCCATGTAAACCTCGATGTCACTTTTGCGGCCGAGCGGAGCGAGGCCGCAAAAGTGACATCGAGGTTTACATGATGGAAAAGTAAAATGTTGTTCATTCAATTTTTTATAGCAAGTCTTTTCAGGGGGTTATACCGTGATATTAGCCTTGTACCGAAAAAAAGTGACGAGCAATGCCGTAAAATAATATTTTATTAAAAAATTTTTGGTGGAGAATTGGAAAATTTTCCTAATCATTTGGACTATAACCTGGCATATTAGGGAGTTTTGTCAACAACTCAGTGCTGGGATCAAGATAGTTTGTAATCCAAAAGTAGAAACGTTCCTTGGTGTCTTGTTCTGGCTTCCTGCAAAATCTGTGATTTGCAGGATTCTTCTTAATATTGTCAGAAATTGCGCAAATCATGTCCATCGTCGTCAATTCTTCACCATTGATGTTAAAACGATTTCGATTACGGTAATTTCTTTTCTCTTACAATTCTTTTTCTGCAGGAGTCAATTCACGAACATACTTATTATGTTTGAGAGCTTCTACAGAACAAGGGCAAAGACCGCAGGCGGCAGCAGCATTTTGAACCGTTCTTAATGATACTGATTCTTGCCATGCGCTAATAAATGAGTAGATAATGGCGTAGCGCATCATTGCAGCATTGTTGTTGAACTCTTGCTTCGGTGCCTTAATGTAATCTCTCAGATAATCCGTGAATTTGGACTTTAATCTTTTGGCAATGCCAACATCAAATACTTGTAAAATGTGTGTTGTATGTGCGGGAAGAACAATTAATTTGATGTTGGCACTTGCCAAAAGGAACAATGCCAGAGGATTCTCGCGGCTGGAGTGTCCATCACACACAATGAGAGCAGGCTTGTCACGTATATCTTCTGGCATTCTCTGGCGTTCAAAGTTAAGCCACTCGATGAAGAAAATGCAATACAATAAGAATACACTTCTGTTCACCCAGCCTTTTGGCGTAGAAGTAAACCAACAATGTCTTTCGCGCTGGAATACTTTCAGTTCTCTAGGTAGTTCTGCAATACATGGGAGAACAAAGAGAGGTGGGACAGATTTGCCTGTCATTGAGCATCCGCATAAAGCTGTAATGTGCGGAAAGTTTGGAATTCCTTTGGCGATCATATGCTCTATCTCCTCAGGTAATGCAACTTTCTTCTTCTTAAATTTGTTTATGAATGTTTCATCGATACTAAAAATCAACTCCTCTGGAGTACTTTCGATTGTTTCACGATGTTTATCGTAGAATTCTTAGTTAGTATACATATCAAGGGTACGGCGGCACTGCGCGCCTCCTTACCCATGATATGTGAATTTGACACTTTACGAAACCATTAACGTATATTTTACAACACAAACGACAACACTAACTTAACCTTAAATATTTACAAAGCCACCAACCACTTCACCTCACTAATGTAAAAAAATAAACGTTCTCACTTACAAAAGTATTGCAACTCCTCCCATTGCTGTGCTTCATATAACAGCTCATAATCTTCTGACTCACTTTCTTCTTCATATAGGTCAAAATCACTGTCATAGTTTATACCTGTAAGTTTTGACAAAGCTAATGAAACACGCTTACCGTTTGTATCATATGCTTGTATAAACTTTCCATTATGCTTGTAGTCATAAACGCTCAAACTAACTTTACCCTTTCTCCCTCGTATCTGATAGAATGTATTTTCACGAGGAACGAAGAACAAATTCTTGAACTCATGACCGTTGTAGTTTGTTATCTCAATAGTTTTCGTCATTTATATAAAAATAAAATAAAAAATAAACTTAAAAATTAATGATATCACCACCCTCACACGTATGAAAACATAGCACAAAAATAAATTTAGGTGAAGTGGTGAGATCTCACCTGTTTTTTCACCCTGTTGAATTCATTGCTTTATAACTCTCTTCCTTGGTTTCTTTTTAGTTGCTTTCTTCACGTCTGTCTCCAACTTGACTGTCTTTCTTCTTCGGCCGTAATGATACCAGTTACTTCCACCAGTCAATGGGTCAAATGGTCTTTCGTAAGGGTTTCCATACATTCCATAGGGACCATACGGAAGAACTACTGGTGGAGAAGAAACATTTTCTTTAGTTCCATCGAATCTATTTAAATGCATTGTTTCACCTTTCATCTGGTCATTAAATTCTTTTGCGTGTTTTGCAAACTCATCGTCCTTTCCTAAAGCATTTTCTGACTCAGTCGCAACCAAATTGGATGCTTTATTTATGAGCCCTATTTTATTTAATCTTAACTTCTTTGCAACCCAGCCTCCAATCTTCCCTTTATTTGCATCTAATGTCTTTGAAACCCTTCCTCCACTCATTTTATTTACTGCGTCATAAGCTCCAAGTGCTTTTGCTCCAAATGCTAATGCTTTTGTTCCCATTGCGCCTAAAGCTGCCCAAGCTACCATTTACACCATATTTAAAATCATCTCTCTTCAATATTATCTCATAAAAGTTCTCGTTACTGGAGAAAGTCAATGAAAACATAAAGCGTTTCTCGGCTTCGCCCTCACCGCTTTGCGGTCTATCTAACTTATTTCTTATATCATCTATACGCTTCAAAATGTCTGAACAATTGCTAACATCTTCTACAACAGTTATTTTCATCATGAATGACCTTCAAGAACAAGCTCATTTAATATGCTATTAAAATCATTTCAATAATGAGTCCATCCTTTCCGTCTTTGGGTAGCACAACATCTTTCATTGAAGAAGGTTCGACAAGTCTTATGTTAAACTTACTGACAAAGTTTGTTATACTATAATGCTTCGGCGGCGAATACATTAGTTTGAAAGACATAATATAGATTCTTCAGCAAATTCACTTATACTGGATTTTATAACAATGTTCTCACGAGACCAAATACCACCAATTGACAACTTGTAAGCAATCCTGCTGAACCTTCTACTGTAAACGTCGATGGTAACATTCCACGAAGGTCATCTATTGACATCGTTGAGTCACTGAATTTAAATATTTTCTTAAAGCAATCGTCATTATCTAACCATGCAATAGCTTTGAAGTTTTCATTCGAATATACATCTGCTTCATTAAATGTAAAACCTGACTTCTTTGCAGAGATGACTTTAAAATCTATTGAGTTTGTTTCAAAATTATATGCTATGGTAACTTCTGAAGGTAATGGATGTCCTTCCGCAGTCAGTTGTTCTCTCACTACCGTTTGAAGCTTTGTATTAAAAACTTTCATGTCATCTCCTGTATCTAAGTTCACATACACAGCAACAGGAAAACTCTTGCTTCTTTGTTTCATCATTACCTCAAAACATTAAAGTTCTTCAATAATATTTTCTTCCTGCTGGAATACTTCGAACCTGTCTGATTTCAATAGCTTTCTCACCTCCTACATACTCTACCAGTGTCTTGGATATTCATAAGTATACTGACTTTCTTGAATTTTGGTTGGTTTCATCATAACATGTTCATAGTATATCTTTATACTCTTGTCAGTTAGACGGTGCTATGTTCTGAATATTTCTGACTTGCATTTTTAATGGAGATAAAATGAAGCATTTAATACATGACGTAGATGAAGACATGAATGAAACTACAGACAAACTTAACTCTTCTCTTATTCTTCCTTTCAGTAAGGACTATGAGTTCTGTTCAAATGGTGTTTATTTCTATTGTGGAAAGATGGGTTCAGGAAAGACATTCAACCTCATTCGTCATATACGCATAACAGAACGTTTAGGAAACGACTCTTACTATGACCAAATCATTATATCAGCAACTTCAGACTCTATGGATTCAACAGCGAAAACATTTATGTCAAAAGTTCAAGCCTTCTCGTTAAAGTTCCAGACAGTGAACTCATTGAATTTCTTCACGTTACATTCGACGTAAGAGGAAATATTATGCATCGTAGAGTTCATACAGTCAGGAATGCAAAAGACTTCTGAGGAGATGGAAAGAATTATTGACAAACACCACTTACGTCAATACTCAGGAGTTTACGATATGAAACGACTTACAAACTACATTCTGTCAAAACTTTCAAAATACCCCTTCAAAAAAGTATCCTTCAAACACTCTTAGTTTGTGACGACTTCGCCGGAAAAGGTTTAGTGTCAAAACCAGACTCACCATTAGCTAACATCAAACTAAAGTCAGACATTACCACTTAACTGTAGCAATACTTATGCAAACATGGAGGTTTTTAGCTTTAAACATAAAACGTCTCATAACTGACTTCGTTATCTTTCAAGGTTTCTCACGTTATGATATTGAACTCATTTGGAAACAGTCAGGTATAACATTACCTTTTGAAGAAATTTGGGAAGCATATAAGTCTCTCATCTCTCCTCGTTCATACCTTGAGATTCATATCATGACTAATACCATTAAAGTCAAAAAATATTCCATGGGAACGACCAACATTGTTTTAAAGTTTAACCTTCAATTGACTGATGGTAAACAAATTCCATGCATCTCTGTCGCCATTTCTGTTAATATTTTTGCTGTCATTCATATCATCCACTTCCCCATCCGTTAGCTTTTGAGGATATGCGTTAGAATAGCTGTTCTTAAATGAAGGCTTTTCACCTTTGAGAGCATAAACTCTATAACTTTCTGCATACTTTATGTTTGAACCTCCTGAGCCATCATTGACATAAATTTTTATAGGCTTCCACCCTTTGTTCATGTTCCTGCTTCTTCCCTTAGCTCTTTTGTTCAGTAGTTCTACATCTTTATACACAGCACCTGTCTCAGTGAATTCAACAATATTTTCATTCGTTAGCTTTACATTCAAACCCTTGTCGAGTATATTGTTCATTTCATACATATAAAAGGTTTTTATTCTATATGAAATGAGAAGCAAATCCATCTTAGCTGGTGCCGTTAATGTTCCAATTGAACCAACATCAAATGTTGACTCACGAACGACAAACAATATTGTCATAAAGAACTATAGTTCAGAGTGTTTGAAAGAAAAAGAACCAGAACTTAAGTCGGTGAATTTAAACTCAGCTTCAAACGCTAACGCTACATCAGATGTTAAGTTAGAGTATCCACCACTGGACCAAATTCTTTCAAGAGAAGCCAACGACAATCCTTACACAAATGTTCAAACAAATCCTTCAGATAACGTAGACCATTACCTTCTTCAGTTATACCAAACAATTTTACTCAAAGACGATAAGAAGCTTTTGACAAATCTTATAAGTAAGAACCAAATAATTCTAACAAAGGAGGACCTTGAAAATGTTATCTCACGAATAACAGGGAAACAATGTGTCATTGACTATCTCGACCCTGAAATCGAATGCTGTGGTCAAACGCCATATTCATGAAAATAGGTAACATCCGCATCATTGAAACACCAGGAACTACAGGAGTTGAGTTTAAGTATAAATATTCGAATGAATATACAAAACTTCAACAGAACTATAACTTTGCTTGAAATATGTTTTAGTAAATTAAAGCAGTCAGGATTCGGTCTTGGCGCTTTGTGCCGTCAGTCAAAAAAATTTCAAGTTAGCAATTTGTAATATCTATCCAAAACTTCTTCAACAGTATCGAACTCATCTTCATAATGCAAACCTAATCTTATTGACTTGGTGCAGTTTTCACTAACACAATATTTTTCTGTTCTCTTGACTGACATAACTAATTCATTTGTTTCATCAAACAGCAACAACCAAAGTTCATGACCTAATACATAACATTCATACTTTATATTTTTAGCTCTGAGTTCTCTTGTAAGCTGTTGCATTTAATATTTTCTAAAAAGTCAACTTCAACAGTCATTCGCACTGGTGCCTTCAGTTCTACAGGCTCTCCTTGAAAGTCAACAAAGTCTGAATTGCATGTCTTTCAAATTATGAGGACTAATGCGAACCCATTTACCTAAATGAGTTGCTATGACAGGAACGTTTGGAATGAACATTGAATTGACTGCATAACAGAAGGATTATATTCTACTGAACCTTTACTATTAACTCCTGAAATGCCTGTGACATTAGCTATTTTAGACTCAATGTATAAACAATTACCATAACATACGTATGGAACAGATTTCATCTCAATCGTTTGTCAACACTTTTCAAAGGAAATGTCATATGGTATGCACCCAAAAGAAGTTGTACTCTATGACTCATTCGTGTATCTTAAACTCCTTCGCATAACTGAACTTCAATGTTCCCTCAGAAGAGAGTTCGACATCTATGTTGTCAATAGTTTCTTCATTTATGAGAGTATCTATGACTCCAGCAATTTTATCTATTCTATACCCAGCTCTGTTAGGAAATGTTATAACACTTCTTTTGTCATCTATTTCAATCTCTATGAAATCTGTTTCATCTGTTATGACAAAAGTTGCGATAGTATTGAAGTCAACAACTCTGAAAGCAAGCGCTTCATTCTGAAGACCTAAGTTTGTTTGTAGCTTTACTGTCCCGTATTCGTTTTGGGTCTGTACTTTGCAAATAGAACAACATTTTATTTCTCATTAAAATATGACTATTGCTGCATATGCGTATGAAACAAATGAAGCAAGAAGAGCACATGAACTAGTAAACGAAAACTCAAACTTTAACCATTGAAGGCAATGATTTAGTCATTGACGATGGAAAAACTAAAAAAGTCATTGATTTTCGATACTTTTAACACGTATGACCCATTCATTACAATAAGTAAAGTTCCCATCATAAATGATGGAACGGTGCAATATATAAATTCTACAGTAGATGCCTCATTAGTGAAAGTATTAAATGTCTCATTGAATTGTTAAAGAGCTTTCGATTTGACGACAACATTTAAATGCCTAAAGAATTTAGTCATGAATGAGAAACAAATTCTCGGCGTTTGCTGGTAGCAGTAATGATGTACACCTTATGACATTAGAATATTATAACGAACATAAAGATGAACTGAAAGGAGAGAAGGGTGACACCGGACCTCAAGAGACCACAAGGAATACAAGGACCTCAAGGCGAAAACGGTTTGGATGGTGAAGATGGAAAGGATGGAAAAACTGCTAAATCATGGATATGGAAACCTTATAAATACTGGTTTAACAGCTGCTTCTTTATGGAGTTCTTCAATACCAAATCGGAAAGATATGGCAGTACTTGGTGAGAAGTTTTAGATGACGTTAAAAATGCTTTTGACTTCATTTCAAATGGTTCTGATTACTATTAAAACTTTATCTGGTTGGATGCAAGAAACAAGGAGCTCAAATAGATACTGTAAGACGTATAGCAAACAATGCACGTACGGGATTGGATACTTTACGAGAAGCACAAAATACACTAAAGGAAGCAAATGATATTTTCTTGGCTCAGTATCAGACATGCATGAAGATTGGCTTAAAGATATTGACAAATCTTTAAAAAATCACAGTCAGTCTATTGCTGACTACAAGAAAAGTATAGATTTTTTACATAGTGCTATGGACGTACATGATGGAAGCATAAGGAACTTACTTAATGCTAACAATAACTTACCAGGAACTATTAAAGCATTTATAAAGTCCTTTGTAAAACCTGGTGCTCTAACATTTAGGTCTTTGAGAGCAAGAGCATTGAAGTCAAGAGATGCAGAAACTCCAACAGAACCTACAGAAGGAACTGAAACAACAGAAACTCCAGAAGAACCACCAAAACCAACAGCTAATGAAATATTGTTCGAATATTTTCCAAGGTACTCTGTTCTCATTGCATACATTCAAGAAATACTTAAGAAAGCAGACTTGACTTTAGGAGATGATGAAAGTTCTGTATATCTTTCGTTCCAGTTTCAAATAGCAGAACTTTTGAGACAGATATGCTTAATGTATGACAACATCTCTGATTTCACAAGATATGATGACGACCATGACCCCGAACACGGTGAAGAAGAAGTTTTACAAACATCCATTAAGACAGGAAAGGTTTTAACTCAAAGTCTCATTATTGACACCAAAGATGGCGAAGTGGACGTTCTTCAAGAGCTGAAGAAAAATACTTCTTCGGGAGGTGGTGGTAGGCATGAACTTGAAATAAATGAGATAGAAGAGAAATTAGTCGAAAAAGCAGATAAAAACCATGTTCATTATATAAGTTCAGATGAACAGATTATAACGGACTATCATGGATATTTAACACAGGATGAAAAAGTGAAGACGGAAGATGTTAATGAAAGAAGATATAAATTCATTCGTGCTAAAGGTTATGACATAAGCTGTACTGTACAGTATGACACAGGTAAAGCACAAGAAGCATTTGGTTATAACGATGAAATTTATGCTTCTAGTTTCTCTGTTAACGGTGTATTAGTTGAACCAAGATTTACATTGAGAGTTAAGGCAAAAATAACTTTTGAAGATGCTATTAAAAGTAAAGCTGACAAAGATGAACTTGACGCAATGAACAAAGTTTTGAAATCTCATAAACACAACATCTCCGATATAAATGAACTTCAAGCTACATTAGACAGTAAAGCCGACAAGAACCATACACATGAATCCTTCACTACTGTTAGAGCAGACGACATAATATTGAACTATACCCTTGGTTCAAGTGCACCTTTAGAGAATCCAAGTACAAGCGTAAAAGATACACTAAACTCCTTAAATAGTAAATGTATGAACATTGAAGGTCATGTCAGAAACTTTGAAACATATGAACTACCAGCAATGTTAGATAAAAAAGCAGATAAAGAACATACACATAACTCCTTCTCAACTGTTGCTATAGAAAGTATTGAAGGAACGGTTGGCGGAACTGGTGGGGATGCATTATATTATAAACCTCCTAACTTTCCACAAGGTTTAACATCGAATGAAAACATAACAACGAAGAAAGAAATTAGCTGTAAAAATGTTTATGTCATGGATGATGAAAATAATGTTAAATTCACTGCTCAAGATTTATATGATAAGAAAGCAGACAAAACAGAGCTTCAAACATTAAAGACTGAAATACTTCAAACATTATATCCTATAGGCTCTATTTATACGTCAATGAACTCAACAAATCCAGAAACAGTTTTAGGTTTTGGTACGTGGAAGCAGATTGTAGATAAATTCTTATACTGTGCTAGATATTCAAAGCAAACAGGAGGTTCGAAGAAAATTAAAGAAGCAAACCTTCCACCGCACACTCATACAGGAACGACAAACTTTTCTGGCGACCATAGCCACTCATTAAGAGACCACCCATTATACAACTCAGAGTATGAAGCCGGTCATGATGTTTTATCTCCATCTTATAACAATTCAGCAAAAAAGACTTTTCGACCAACTGAACCAGGAGGAAATCATTCACACACTTTCACAACAAATCCAACAGGCTCGGGTGCAGATTATATGTCACCATTTGTGACTATATTCGCATGGTACCGCGTTCAATGAACGCGCTTGAGCCTAGAATAAAATCTTTATTTTTACATAAATGAGCTTGAAAGAAGTATTCGAACAACATCCATGGAGGTCATTTAAGAAGTTCAATGAAGCTGCAAAGAGTTGGGGATTTACTAACAGAGCTGAAGTGAAAAGGTTCTTTGACAAAAATGTTGTACATCAAACAAAAATAAACCCTTACGACTACTTTTTACCAATTTACTCCAACGCTCCTGACGCATACCAATTTGACACTCTCATTCAAAGCGGAAAAGGAGGACATAAACCATTCCTCATCTTCATTAATGTTAACACTCGTAAAGCATATGCATATCCAATGAAAAATAAAGGAACTCGTGAAGTGTTAAGAGTTTTACAAAAGTTTGTAGCAGAACATAGCCCAAGTACTTTAACATCAGACCAAGACAGTGCATACCTCAGCAATGAAATCACAGATTTTCTCATTAAGCATAACATAACTCACTACACTACTGAAGACCATAACCATAACATACTCGGCATCATAAACCGCTTCATAAGAACGCTCAGAGATTTAAACCAAGAGCGAGACTTTACCGAAGAAACAATGAAACATTTTCTCGAAGTATATAATTCCTCAACACATTCTACAACAGGACATACACCAAATTCAATGACACAACAACAAGAAGAAAAGTATATACAAAAGAAACGAAGCCAAACACAAAATATCAGAAATTCAACACAATTTACCCTCATTCCTGGTACAAAAGTTCGTGTAGTTCTTGACGACAAACCGTTGACAAAGAAACGTTTAAGGTTAAGTAGAAACTATTATATCGTAGACTCTACGCAAGGTAATGGATATCTTATAAAAGCTGCTGACGACTCTATTGCGTTTTACCCTCGACATAAATTAGTTGAAAGTAGTAATGGCAAACTTGCTGAAACCATTGACGAAGCAAAGCGAGGAGTGGTTATTGAAATACTTGGCTATAACATAAACGATGACACTTATAAAGTAAGATATGAAGGAGGCGTTGAAGATGTTATACCATCTAAGAACTTGAGAGAGTCAAAGCCAACACATCTGGGACCATTAGAGCGGGAGTACTGGAAAGACAAAAATAAGCCAGAAAGAATAAGAAAATTCTTCTAAACTTTTTCATTAGATGTAAATCAGACATGAATGAGAACAGTCATGATATCATTAATGGTACCATTTATTTTTGTCATAAATGTTTTCAGTGTCACCACGTCACCATGTCACCAGGTTAATTAACTTCTCTTAAAATTACTGACAACATGACATTTTGACAACAGTCCAGGAAATAAATTTTATCGTAAATGTTTTCATAAATTATGAACGTGTCACCACGTCACCATGTCACCAGGTTAATTAACTTCTCTTAAAATTACTGACAACATGACATTTAGACAACTAGCCCGGAAATTTGATGCAGTCCAAAAATAAAGTTAGTTTTAAAATTATTTTTATTTTTTTATTCCTATATAAATGACAGCAACAAACAACAACAGCAACTATATCGTTTCTGATGAAAAAGTTATTGATTCATTAGCTGAGGAATTAGTTGTGGCAGAAACTAAAACCCTCAACGAAAGAATTGGTGAAAACAAGATTGATTTACATAACTACCTCAAACACGATGGAGGAAGAGGAAGGAAAACTGGTATGGCTTTATTAGTAAATAAAATTTCAAATTTAACGATTATAGATGTTGATATCAATAAATCATACAATGATGAACTTAAAGAAACAGTTAGAAAAGACATTTTATCAAAACTTTCGGATAAAGATGTTATCGTTAAAACCGCTTCAGGAGGTCTTCACATTTATTGCAACACTAATTTCTTCTATTCAGTTTCGAACAGAATGATTAAATGTTATTCCTGCAATGATTATGATATTGACATAATGACTTCTATGGATGATTCAAAGCGTTCTTTAGTAGTTATGGCTGATTCAAGAGTTCGAAAGAATGCATCAGAACCAATCAATACATACTCATTCATTCGTGGAAGTTATGACTCGACCATAACTAGAACAGTGAATGATATATTAAATGATTTGAATATTAAGGTAAGAGTTGAACAGAAGAATGAAGAAATAAAGACTATCATGAATGAAAACAAAAATGTAAACATTGACGATAAACTTGCCCAGAGCATAGTTGATGGCATTAGTGATTTTGAAGTACATAATGACGGTGGAAACATGAATTTAGAAAAAGAAGTTACATTATTCACACTGTTTCAAGCTATTAATTCGTTACCTAATCATTTAATTAATGAAGCATACGATAACGTTTATAACTTCTGCAATTTAACAGAAAATGCAAAAAGTAATTTTGAAAAAGCACGTATAGATATGCACATTTAATGACTTCTCCATTTGTTTTGGTGAAGATTCTAAAACTATATCAAAAGGAATATTATGATGAATACGTTTTACCTTTATTACGTAAGCCAAAAATAACATTTGATATAAAACTTGATGACTCGTTTTTTGATAACAGATATTAGACGCAAGGCTGAAAATCATCAGTATAAAAACAGTTCTGAAGTAATTGAGGATTTATCACGTGTAATCCGTTTTGTAGATTGTGGAAACAAATATTTCATTCAGAAAGATTACAACATACACGACAAAATGAATCAAATATCATTCGTTCTTCAATCAAACATGAAAGAGTCACTTAAAATGATTAAATTATTTAAAGAAGAAGGTAAAACAATAACAGCATGGGATGTACTACTAAATCAATTATCCTCATTAACTGTTAAGGGTGTTTGCTTTAAATCTGATTTCCAGATGTTTTCTCAACGTTTCAGGGTTATAAATACAACGTTCTCGAAAAACCAGATTACTCAAAAATTGAGATGTTTATGAATTTCATTAAAGAAGCCATTTGTGATAATAACGATGAAGTGTATAAATACCTTCTCGGCTGGATTGCATCAATGATTCAACATCCTGGAATCAAGAATGAAACAGCAATTATTTTGAAAGGACTTCAGGGAACAGGTAAAAACAGATTTACAGACATTATTTCTGAACTTCTCGCTGGTTATTCATGTAAAAACATTACCGAAATAGGTGAGCTAACGGGTAATTTCAATTCGGTAGTTGAGAATAAAATGTTTCTTGTACTTAATGAACTCAAGAATGTAGGTGAAGACAGACTCGCAAACTTCAACGCTTTGAAATCAATTATTACGGATAATGAGATTAGAATTAATGAAAAGAATCAACCCAGAAGAACTGCTCAGAACGTTGCAAACTTCATTTTCGTAACTAATAACGTTTACCCTGTCAAAATTGAAGTTGGAGACAAAAGATACGTGGTTTTAAGGGTTAATGGTAAATTTAAGGGTCAATTTGATTACTTCAAGAATTTGATGAATTCATGCACAAAGGAATTTTATGATAACCTTTTAACATATTTTATGCAATATGACCTTTCATCATTTAACGTACGAATCATTCCGATGACTGAAGCCAAACTAGATTTAATTGAATTATCAACAAATCCTTTAGATGTATGGATAAATACACATTATGATGAATTGTGTGCAGGTATGACGTGTAAAAATGCTCTATTCTGCAAACCATCAGACATGAAAGACAAAAACTTTCAAATGAGCATTAAGGATAAATGTGATAGGAAACAGAGAAGAATAGATGGTAAACAAACATGGTGTTATGTTTTGAAAGAAGAAATGAAAGGATTATATAAACAGGTTGAACCAAACGATAATGAGGATTCATTTACTGACGATGAAATACCTGGAAATGAAGCTTTATAAAGTATGATTGGAATTTATTTTTGCATTAATCCTGCTGTGTTGTCTAAATGTCATGTTGTCATCATTTTTAAAAGAAGTTAATTAACCTGGTGACACATGGTGACGTGGTGACACCATCAGTTATTCAAAAATATATTTTTGCTTAAATGACGTCAGGGTCTATTTCTTCAACCATTTCACTTCCTTCGTCAATGTCAATAGAAGCTTCTTCAACCTTTGGTAAGAATTTCTGTATAACATCTTTGTTCGTTATTGTCTTCAGAGATGAAGGATAATATTTCACATTTGTTTCACCCTTCTTATATTCTTTCTGTTCGGAAAGATTTAAAGCAATACTGAAGAAGTCAATATTAGAGTTCTTTATAACAGTATAATGAGTATCTTTGACATTCACGAAGAAACTCTTTTGTTTCAAAACTACTGCTAACTCTTGTGAAGTATAACGTTTGCGGTCAATGACGATAGCTAATGGTCTGACATACTGACCAAACTTAGATTCTTTCACAAACTTCTTGTTAAAGATAACATTAACATTTGAAGCATTATTGAACTCATTCTTGATGGCAGTAGCGAGAGCATTGTATGAAAAGAACTTGCAATCTTGCATGTGTTTCATTAAAATAAAAATATTAAATTATTTGAAAAATAACTTAAAAAAATCTAATCTAATTTTTTCAAAAAATATTTTTTTATTTCCTACTAAAGATGTATCGGAAGTTGTCTAAGTTAGAACACTCGGAAATAAAACAACTTCTTACAGAAGCTAATATAGATGTTGCAAAGCATTACGCAACAAACAAAAAAGCACTCGCTGACTTCATTAAAGACTATAATGGTGCAATAAGTTATGATAGAATTCATGAGTTCATAAAGCCGCAACGCGGCGAGGACGAAGTCCATGCAAGAGCATTTCCTTTAAATGACGTTGCTATTGACTTATATCATAGACGTTCAGTACCTCATGAAGTAAGAAGAGAAATGTATGACATAACAAATGCAAACGTTGGTGAAACAAGAAGAAGAGACGACACACTGAAACAACAGAGAAGAGAGATGTTTAAAAGTGCTATAGAACAAGTTCGCAAAGCTAACGATGTCATTCGTTCCATTGACGACAAACCAAAAGAAGGTGAGAGATGGTTAAAGAAAGATGAAGAGAATAGGAAGAGAAATGTGAAGTCAGGCAATAGACTCATTGACTTTAACATTGAAGCTTTAGATGAACAAACAGAGACTACTTACACAAACATTTCGGTAAGGTTTTCATGAGACTCTTAGAGAAAATTAAAATAAACTCACAACAGAGATGGATGGTATGTTATAAACTTGGTGGAAAGTATGAATGTTCTACGTTAAACCTCAATAATATTGGAACATTACTACATCAGCTCTTGAAGGAGAACTTTATATCAGAGATAGAAGCAAATGCTGCAGGTATTGTTGAAATGCACTATGACTTCTTCTTGACAAACATAAAGAATCTTACCGAAATAAAGATGTATGATTTAACTGAATATGAAGGCTTAACGATGTCAGATGTAAAGAAAGGCAAACCAAAAAAGAGACCATATAGAGATGAAAGCACACTGACAAATGACCAGAAAGCCATTTTGGAAGCTCTTAAGCAAACAGGAAACCCAGCACTTATAGAAAGCTTTTGGAAAGATAATGGTGAAAAGAAGTTTTATAAGAAGAGAAGCGGTCAGTTCTGGAAGTATCTTTGCACATTACCTATAAATCTTGAACGCTACCAAATCTTCAATGAACTGAACAAAAGAACTGCAACACTTATGACAGAAGATAACTGCTTCGTTTATGCTTGCATTCAGGCTGGAGTAAATGAAGAAACTATTGACCACATGAGAGAAGTCATTCGTGTTAGAGACTTTCCTCAAAGTAAAGTACAAGAAATTTCTGACGCAACAGGTATAGCATTTAATGTTACCATTGGTTATTTCAATGACTCAAGACATAATGAAATAAAGAGATACATACCAAAAGAATGTGAAACTGTTAGAACTATTGACTTACTTCTTGTTGAAGACCACTACATGCTAAATGAAAGATTACCAATGACAACATATTTCATTCGCAACTATATAGAAATCTTGAAGGAGTGTGGTGGAATGAACATTGAGAAACAGATGAAGATTTATACAAAGAGAGAAGATAAATATGTAGTTCGTTATGATAGAACAACACCGTTATGGGATGTTATGAAAACATTGTGGGAGTGCAAATATTTCGAACCTATTTCTTATGGAGAACTTTTCACATATACTACTGACTTATATAAACAGAACCTTGCACCATTTAAAGACTTGTCATATGCTCCAAAGTATTGTGTACAACTGAAGAAGAAAGCCGAGTCAAAAGAAGTAAATAAAGCTAAATGTAAGTTCATTCCTGAGCACGTTTTCTTTGCTGACTTTGAGTGCAGTACCGATGGCTTTCATAAAGCTTTTAACATATGTTACGACAGTGAAGATGGTTCAGTGAGTGAAAGCATTTGGGGTCAGAACTGTGCAACAGAATTTTTGGAACGACTTCCTGACAAGAGTTTAATATATTTCCATAACCTCAGTTATGATATAAACTTCATCTTAAGACACATGACAGAAGTGAAAGGAACTCCCATCATTAAAGGTTCACGAACAATGCAAATAACTGGCTTATCTAAAGGACGGGCAATTATTATAAAAGACTCTTACAGTGTTATAAATAAGAAGCTTAAACTATTTCTTGCTATGTTTAACTTACAAACAGGACCGAAAGAAGTATTTCCATATAACTACTACAGCAGTGTTTTGTTAGCAAATGACAACAGAACTGGTGTCATTTCTGAAGCATGTAAGTTTATCCAGGATGCGGATACATTCATGAAAAACATAGATTCCATCAAAGGTTGCAGAATAGATGAGAACCACTTCGACTTAGAAAAGTATAGCACATTTTATTGCAAACAGGACGTAAGAATTTTAAGAGAAGGTTTTGTTAAGTTCCGCAATGACATATTAAAAGAATTTGATTTAAACGTTTATGACTACGTTAGTATTTGTTCTATTGCTAACAAATTGTTTGAGAACAGAGTGTACTTCCCGAATGGAAATTTATATGACCTCTCAAATAAACCAAGAGAATTTATTTCGAGATGCATTCAAGGTGGAAGATGTATGCTGTCAGATAACATGAAACAAAAGAGCGAAAAGAAACACATTGCTGACTTCGACGCTGTTTCATTATATCCATCCGCTATAGCAAGACTTTATACTTTAGAAGGTATTCCAAAGGTTATGAAGAAAGAAATGTTAAGCACAGAGTATCTCATGAGACATTTGTTCGATGATGACCAAAAGGAACCCATTGGTGAAAAGTTTATGTCTGGCTTCTTTGTTCTCATTAAGATAACAGAGATTGGAATACATAGACACTTTCCTTTAATAGTTTGTGACCCTGAACTAAATCCAGAACTTAACGTTCCCAGAAGTTCAAACACTTGCTGTTTAATGTATGTTGACCATATAACATTACAAGACCTCATAAAATATCAAGGTGTCAAATGTGAAGTGTTGCAAGGATACTATTACGATGGAAACAGAGATATTAGAATAAGAGATGAAGTAAAGAAGTTGTTTGAGTTAAGGTTAAAGTATAAGAAAGAAGGAAATCCTTTGCAAGAAAATATAAAGCTCATTCTGAACAGTATTTATGGCAAAACTATTCTATCTCCTATTGAGTCAAAAATAACCATAGTAAATGACAAAGATGCTATAAGATATGCCATCAGAAACTACAACCATATAGTGAAGTTCGAAGGTTTGGATGGTTCAGATAAAACTATTTTCAAGCTAACGAAAAGCATTTGCAGACACTTTAACTTCTGTCCACTTGGTGTTAATATTCTGTCTATGTCGAAGAGAATAATGTGTGAAGTATTCTGTAATGCTGAAGATATGGGACTTCAAATATTTTACCAGGACTGTGATAGCATGCATATTTTCAATGAAGACATACCAAAGCTTGCAGCAGAGTTTAAGAAGAGATACGGTCGCGAACTTATAGGAAAGAACCTTGGTCAATTTCATTCTGACTTCGCAGAAATAACACCTGGAAAACAAAGTTTAGCATACAAGTCAATATTTTGTGGAAAGAAGACCTACATAGACTTACGCACTAACGATTTAAATGAAGTTGCATTCCATGCACGTTGCAAAGGTGTAAAACAAGACGTTCTTGCTTTAACAGCTAATGAAATGTTTCCTGAAGCTATACAATGTTATTACAATGAAGATAAGAACATTCACATACCTGTTGGAACATATGACAAAGACTCTGAGTTCAGTTTAATGAAACTTTACAAAGCACTTCATGATGGTCAAGAGATTGGATTTGACTTATGTAAGTCTTCTAGTCCTTGCTTTGCTGAAAAGTTTAACTTCTCAATAACGACTAAAACAAGCTTTATTCGTAAGTTGAAGTTCTGAGGTCATTTATTTTTGTCAGCAATGAGGTCATTCGTGATAAAAATAAGCCGCTAGCGGCAAGGGCGAAGCCCATGTGGTCATTTACAATACTGCGATGGTAGAGTTTAAGAGTTGTGCTTCAATGTAGAGACAGTCCTTATGGTCTGGAGGTAAGAACACTGGGCAGTTATGGTCATGAGTGGAGAACATGTCTATCCAAAACTCACGATTGAAGCCAGTTAATTTATAGTATTTAGGGTTAGGAAGTGGTGAAGTTCTTGTATGACCAATGAACTCATTTTCAACTCCCTTACTTAAGTTTGAATATAATATAGCTTGCTTTCTATCCCAAATGCCAGGTGTTACAATCTTTGAAAATTCATTTTTCCTCGGAAGCATTGCATCATAATTGAAAACATTCTTGAAATCATCACTTGGTTCAGAGATTTGAAATCTTATACGTAATGGATTTTCTTTCTCTTTAGCGACTTCATTGAATGGTGAGAATACAACAAACTGACAGTCATGTGTTCCATCTTCATTTTCATTAAATTCATAATGAAAGTCTATAAGTTGTGGCTGACTACCTTCTTCTTTCAGTTGTGCAAGAAACTCACGTAAAGGCTGTAAAGTTTGTACTTCAATGTTGAACTTTTTCTCGAACATCTCATTAAATGAAATCATACATTGCAACAATGTTGTATCGTCTTTAAAGTATTTGTATATGTGAATGTTTTGGGCGCTTAAAGATTGTTCGTCATTTTCTATCTCGACTTGAAGTATAAAGTCAACCTTTCTGAAAGCACGTGTTATATACATATTTGTTATGCCAATGTACTTCTCTTCATTTATGTTCACAATCCAGTCTGTTGGAAACTTAAACGTTACTCTGTTCCCTTTATTTTGACGTCAGGGTTTTCACTACTGAACGCAACAGATAAAGGTATTTGTCTATACATTTAATTCGGATAAAAATAAACCATTTACTCTTTCTTTGCTTCAGCTTCTTTAGCTTTTGCTTCAGCTTCTTCTCTAGCTTTCTTCGCCAGCAAACGTGGGTTCTTTTGTCTTCCAGCAGCTAATGCAGCAAGTTGTTTTTCACTAAGTTTTCTCTTTGGTCTCTCTGGCTTTTGTTCTTGTTTTTGTTCCTTCAGTTCAGATAAAATTTGCTCACGAATTTCTTTCTTCAATGCTTCAACATCTATGACCCCTTGGGTCTTGTCCGTAGGGCTTGTCTGAGTCATTTGACTGCAGATAAAAAACAAAATTAAAACTTTAACCGATGTAAAATGAGCTTGTCAAAATCAGAGCGAGAGTCTATTATATTAAATGACGCAAGAGGAATACAACATCCTTTCTATTACGTAAGTCAGAGTAAAGATGGTAAAATATACGTAAGAAAAAGAAAGGTTCCATTAGCAAATGCAGAGAGCGACAGTATTAAGGTGCATGGCACCGAGGGCGAAGCCCATGTTAAGCCTTCTATTCAAACTGAAAAGTCAATAGAACCAGAAGAAAAGAAGCCAGATGTACTTTCAATAACGAACCAAGAGCTTATTACAAAGTTCGTGAATTTCATTGAAAAACAAACCGAGTCAAAGAACCCTGACCCACCAGTGAAAGAAGTTGAGACAAAAGAGAATGTACAGTTCATTGAAAATGTCAAGAAACAACTTCCACCACGAATGCCAAGAAGAAGAGTGAGAATAATGAAGTAAATAGATATTTTTATCCGAAGTAAATACATGCAGAACGAACAGTTAAACGAATTTACTCCAGCAGAGCATATTCATCAGATTCGCTCATATTTCGATATCATAGACAATGCAGTTCAAATTGGTGACACTAATAGAAAATATTCTGACGCAAAGATTCCATCACAACCTGGAACTGCTAAAGATAACACATGGGTAACATTCAATCTCTCACCTCCTGGTGAAAATATGTTGGACCTTTACAATACATTCATTACGTATAAAATGGAAGGTCAATTTATTGTAGATAAAGAAATTGGTTCAGGTTCCAATAAAACAAACCCACCAGGATTTTGGATTGGTTTCGATGACGCTTTCTATGCAGTTGCTGGATATCAAATCCTTGCAAATGGTCGTATCGTATATTCTCAAGACAACGCAAGAGAAGAAGCATATATAACTTCAAACTCACAAACTACCGAACAAATAAAGAAAGTAGATGTTTTCTCAAAGACTCGACATGAAGATGTATGGAGTCATTCGGGAACATGCAGAACAGGACAAATTGTTAGTGGTCCAATTACAGCAGGAAAATCATTTGATTTTAAGCTTCGTTTAAGAATTCCTGTTAGAAGATTCCTTCCATTAGAAGCTATTCGATTTATTCCAGCTTTTGCAGGAAACATTCAGCTTAAAGT